TAGATATATCATGCTGCAAACAATCGATTTTGATATTTGAATTTCAATGCACTTTGGTGAGGAGGAACTAGACACCGAAAAGGTTTTTTTTTTCAAAAGTCTTTCTTTCCGTAGGCGAAAAACACAAGCTAGCATCAAAAACTTACATAGATATTTCCAAAATGTAATATCCCCCATTAATATGGCTGGGCAAAGCCCTTAAAAATTCGAAATTAATCTTTTATTTTGCGGGGTGTTTTACATGAAACACTAATAAATATTGATAATTTTCACAAAAATGAATAAAAAATACTCAATTTTTTCTTCTAATTTTTACTAAAATGTAGCAAATTACGCTCGTAAAAAGTACTACACCCCAAAAAATGTTAATAATCACCAGGATGGCAAAACTAGATCTTACTCCTCACTTATTTACCAAAATTCAGTTCAAACGCTTATAATCTATCAGAGTTATGCATTACTCATACATCCTTATACAGCAATCGATTTTCAGGTTCAAAATTGCTCGTACTACCTCCTCTTTGCACTAATATGCCAGTAATAGCACTAATAGATCTTAATCCCGACGTGTGCGAAGTTCCAGCTAAAAATATCCTTAAACACGGATTTTAAGACCGATATTGGATATCATAGTGTTGAAGTGATTCCAATACTTTTACTTTACTATAGAATATGAAGGAAAAGTAAAAATACATTAAAAAAAGCTTTTATCGAGAACTGTATCATTTATTACTTTCTTGTTACGTAAGCATATATTCGTATACGTATGTATAATACAATAGATTATACTAACTTATATGAGTATTTACTTATTTACGTACACTTCATATTATGCACTTTAAGAGAGAGAATGGTGTTTTGCAGGAAATCGTGTGATTTAGGAGCTTGATCCCTACATCGAGATCAACGGTACCGCCATGGGGCCAAGGGATACTATGGGCAAGCATGTCAATGAATAATGCCGAGAGACACCCACGAGATATTCGGGGAGCGCGAAGGTATTCTTCACTGAGGATGTCCTCAGAGGAGCTACGAGAGAAATTGGAAGGTTTTTATGCGGCGATAGATAGTATCTGGGAAGAGAATGAGGCGAATTCATATAGCTCGCCCCAATACAAGAGAACAGGAAACTAACTTATAAGTGAATGTCTGTGCCATTTTGAAGCACCATTTCAGTAGAGGTGGCTCAGGGTGTCAGCTGATATCACTGCAGTGCCTCTGACCATGAGGTCCTAGGTTTGAAGCCCGACGGCGGCAAGATTTGCGACATTAGCTTGTCTGCTAGTTCGAGTTCTGTCGCTGTCTGGAGAAGATTTGTACTGGGGCTGGCTGCTCTGATCGGTAGTTTTCCTTGGTTTCCCCGACCAATACCAAGCGAATGCCGGAGCAGTACCCTAACAAACGGGCCATGAATCGCGCGAGATCTTTCCTTCCTCTTCCTTGCTCTATCCTCAACCCTTACACACACACACACACACACATACACTAACATGCACTACACTACCAAGCCGGGAGACCGGTCGGTCGGTCGGTAGCTTTAGAGCTTGTCCCGGCTGGGCCGGTGCTCCACTGGTGGGAGATACCGGATTGAGGAAACAGCGCTAGCCGACGGTAGGTCCATCCAGTGGGAGATCATCGCCAACTCCCGGAGAAAAATATGCACTACACTTACGAGACTAATGTTGAGGCGCCCGGAATCACGAACAATCAATCATTGAAGCACCACTAGTTATAATTTTGTAAACTATATTCTTTAAGCACTAAAGTAAATACATTGAGAAAAAAGTCAAAACAGCTGGAAACCATAGTGGCAAAACTATTTTACCATTCAGAGAGAGAGAAAGAGAGGATAAGCGAATTGGCTAACGTGCTCGAAGACCTCGTAGAAAAATGCACTGACAGAACTTACGAAGGTGTAGTGGTGTAGTTGTACCGAGTAACCCGACTATTACACTTGTCTGCGACCAAAAACTTGCATAACATTTATTGACTTATTCTGTCTCTTGGTGTGCTGAAATCAAAAATTATCTCAGTTTTTTACATCACATAATTTGTTTTGCAAATCACTGCTGTAGTATGCCAGTGACACTAAATTGGAAAATTACCAGAAAAGCTATTTTGAGTTTCAGAGTTAATCAATTATTGTCTTGTATTTTTCTTTGTATTTACTTCCTTAACATCATAAATGAGGACAATACAACGTGTGATGTGTCAATTTTAATCTTTGTGAAATTCTTTCAACGTAACTAGAGCCCAGAAGTTCGGGCATTTATTTTATGTAAAATAGGCAGCAAAAAGGCATTTACTTTTTAATAAAATAGGCATAAAATGCATTTATTCTAGCCAAAGTATGGGTCAAAAGTGTGACTACGAATTTGTTTTATTCGCGGCGCCGTCTCTTCGAAATGACATTGTGGACCCTCTTTTGAATCTTGAAATGACAACGATGAAATCGGAGTTATACATTTCGTTCTTCGCACTTCTGTAATTGCCAGCAATGAGAACGGTATATAAAATATAAAGTGCTGTCCTCAAAAGGGATCGGAAGCCACACATTATAAAGTGGGATGGGATTCCTCGTGAACGAACAGTGTCGCATGAATGAAAAAATCAAAAATCTTGACTGATATCATCTTCCTTTTTCATTTAATTTTTAACACGGCCTCTTCTTTCACAGAAAGACGAAATACGACTCTGCCATCGCGTGGACCAGGCTTCCAGATATACATCCAGCTTCATTGTCATCAAAGAAGCAGAGAGCAAAGGCAAAATAATGTAATAGAAAAAAAGCAAACATAGGCATCCGAAACTAGAAGAGGCAAAACGAAAAATTTACTAAAACAACTCCAGAAGCGTTACTCATTAAGTAAAAAATATTTCACCAACATTGTAATTTGGTGGCAATTTTTGAAAATTCAACGTTCAAGGAAGAGGGAACTTGAGTCATATTTATAAACGAAAATGTGTGGAGTAGTTTTTGAGGAAATATTGTATTTGCCTGTATTCCATGAAAAATTACGTGAAAATACTCAGATTTTTGAAAAGTAAATCATGATCTTACTTCAAGATTCAATTTTGAAAAACAAGTGACATCACAAAAAGATTCGAAAACTCAGAGAGTTCAACGAAAATTCGCCCTGCGCCGTTTTAAAACGTATTTTGCTCAATCCGAGAAAAATATTTGAACAACACTTTTTTTTTTGAGAAAATATTGAAGCTTCTTGAAAAGTAACCCCAAAAATGAAAATATATTTAAAAAATAGCAGAGCTCTGAGTTCGGCTAGATCAATCGGAGAATATCAATTTTTGGAGAAACCCATCTAAGTGGTTCAGGCGTTGCTTTGACGACAGACGGACAGAGAGACTTTCGCCGTTACCCAATTTTTCGATATCAAGAACCCACAAAACGAGGATTCTGAAAACACGTATTAGAGAAAGTAATTTACTACATGAATGAATACGAATTACTCACTTTTTCGATATCAGGGCCCCGTAATATGAATTTTTCAAACCATTTTCAGTTTTCAACATCTTGAAATATCTCAGTTTTTGCCGCAACTTAACAATACTTTTTATATACAACGTAAGTAGTATGTGCGAAAGTAAAATTGGACATTTTACGAGAAAATCTTATGATTCCTTAATTTTACTCATACTTAAAAAAAAGTGCATTTGACATTATTTAAAGATTTAAAATAATTAATAAGTCTAATCTCTTAAATTAAAAACTAATACATATCATATAAAAATTGTATTTAGAAAAAAATTGCCGTCTTTAATTTTAAAGTCAAAGGGGCAAAAAATTAACATTCAAAAATGCAAAGGTTTTAAAGAAAATACGACCTGTTCTGTCTTTAAAAGCGGATTTCACTCTAGCATAAATTTTAAGAAAAAAATAGGGCAATTTTTAAGAAAGTTTTGAAAATGTTCCAGAGGAATTGCGTAAAATACCTCCATAAAATAAAATATTCATTTCAAATTCACAGGGCAAGGCAGAATATTCAATTTGGGGAACATCTTCTCTTACGATTTATGCGCTCTTGTATGCAACATTACGTGCAGTGTTCTCCGGTCAAAATCTAGGCATCTATTTTCTTACGCTTTAACTATGAATATATTAAGTGTACGGGAAAGTGAAGCTTTGCGTGATGTATTCTTTTTATAATTTTCTTTAACATTCAAATATCATAAACAAATCATATCATGTCATATCATGAAAACAGAAATATAACATTTTATGACCTGTACTTTGATACTTTTCTGATTTAAAAAAATTGGCATGAAAACTATAAAATATTACGATCAATAGGATGCAGCATAAAATATAGTGAATGGTTCGTAATTCATACTGAATTTTAAGCCAATTCCAGAATAAAAATAGTTCTACGGAATTAATTTTAGCGTTGTTCTCAATGGATTTTGGCACAGAAATTATATGATGCTACTGTTTCAATATTTATTAAAAAAAATAACAGCGTGTCCATTCTTAATAAAAAGGAACATTATTACTCTAGAATAAATAATCAATTATAAAAAAATCATTGGCCCTAATTGTAATCAAATTGTACTTACTTGTGTTGTTATTTAAATGCAGACGGACATCACACTTAAAACTCCGGCGTTGCAACTTGTTACACACAAATTCTGCGTAAGAAACAATGAGAAATTGTTGTTATCAACTGTCCTCAAGAATTCAGGTATAACATTTGTATCTACTTAAGGATATTGTAATATTTGCAGTTTGAACATAGCATTAATGAAATATGGCACTTATGACCGCTAGTAGTTTATAAAATAATCTGAATGAATGAATAAAAATTGCAAACAAGTGGAAGTTGACAAACCGATGTCCAATTCCACACCAAAAAATCGAATTACTAGTAGGAATTACAATTCGCAAAATAGATGTACAGGAGTAGGAGTTAACCACTAAAACTACTCAACATGTAAAATCACAATTTATTAAAATATAAAATAAAATTCTATTATTGTTCACTTACCTTTAATGAAGTTCTGTCATAAACGTAAAATAAATATTCATTTTAACAGTTTACAATTTCAATAAATCCTAGAAAATTTAATTGCTTTATCGAAAGTAGTTTACATAAAAAACATTTCAGTATTGTCACTAAAAATTAGTATAACCACATAAAACACAACCTTCTCCTTCAACCACTGAAGTGGATATGCACTGCCCGCACACATGTTCACGCGGTCTTCCCATTTACATTACCGCTTCAAACGTTTCTCTTCCTTGCCGACAGAGCGCTCAGATCAATTTTCCCCCCTAGAGTGCTCTGAATACGGTTTTACCCATAATTCGTCAATGCGCGAATTTAAAAGTGTTTGTAAATGACCTGCAGTCTAAAAAAACCTCCTGCAGTCTTTTCATTTTGGTGGATTCAAATACATTAGTGGCGCCTTAGATTTGCTGTAACGTTAGTAAGAAAATAACATTAATCCACTTTGATAACGTAAAGCACACAATTATGTTCTTTAAAATAACCATATCAATAATTGTTCATAAAACAAAATGTTTTGGGTGACATTGAATGGCGCGTCCTTAATAAACTACTGTTATAACTCATGATACACATAATACGGAGAATTATTTGTTGAGTACTGCGCGAGTTTCGTTCTTCAGAACCTTTCCGTCCAGTTTCCCTTATCCATTGAACAAATGCTGAGAAGGCTCATTTTGCCTCGCTCGATTATTATTTTGATTGCAATGCAGAAACATCATACTTGCAATTCGTTTACCAACCCAAATATTTTCTATAATCAGAAACAAAAATTTCTATTTTTTCAAAAATTGCTCATCTTGCAGTTTTTTTAAATTTATTTTTATTTAGTTATTTTAAACTTTTACTTATCTTTCAACTATTTATAGTTAAAATGATGGGAAGGGATTCTGGAACTGAAGAAAACGTGTGCAGATGATCTTCTCCCCCACACGTCACATACAGTTTTTACTGTTTTTTTGACTAAATAAATCTAAAAACTAAAAATCTAGAAATGGTCGATTGTGCATGGGCAAGGATGTCCAAAGGTTGTTTTTTTTTTTGCAATCAAATGTTTAAGACATTATTTAGCCCACGGAAAAACTTAAAAATCATAAAATACATAGCATCAAATCCGCTCAAATGAGCTTCATTGCGAATGGAAACATGCACAACTGAATGAGGTGTGGTTTAGCCGTACTTCCAGTCAATAATTCCAAAATACCCTTTCAAAACCATTGTAACCATTATAATCTAAGCACGTGTTTCTAAATCATAATTCCACAAATTTTGAAGTGCCTTTTGTAGGTAGGTGCTGTACTTTATATGAAGACCCCTGATGATAGGCAAAATGCCTGTACATTTTTGTGAAAGACAGCACAGTAATTATTTAATACCCTTTCATTTCAAGATATAAGTGTAGAGAACAAATATGATTTTCTCTTTTCCTGGTGATTATATGTACCGAGACATCTGACTTCTAGCTGATTAACCATATTAACTTTCTAATCTACCTACACTTGGATTGCTTTCCATTTCACTGAGTCTTGTGTAGTTTTTGTAAAATTTTCAGTATTTTATTTTTACAAATGGGAGATGACCATTATTTTATCAAGAAAACATACATTTTGGAATATTAAAAGCAAAGAACTTAGCACATGCAAATATGTATAATATTTTATTTGAATTTGTTTAGAAAAAAACAGAAACTTACACAGTAGTTGGAAGTTCAACTTTTTGCAACACTGCACTTTCTTTTTACTAGTTAATTTCTTAATCTCTTTAGCCTGGACTAGCTTTTTAGTGCTACCCTACCCTTATCCGACCTGCTACTTATTGTGGCCTAAAAGACATTTTTGCACATTTTCTCAATTTTTCTGTTCCCTTATTGGAGAATTGAAATTTGACTTTAACAATATTATAGAAGGCTAAAACATGGATCACTATAAAAGTTGAGGGTACAATTCAAATGTGGACGAGGTAGAAAGGAGCAACTATGAACCTACAATGTTGACTCATTGACAATGGATGAATTAGATGACTCGCTAAAAAAACCAAAAACACTAAGCCAATGCATTCACTGTGATGCATCGACACACAATATGAAAGATAATGAATAAAAGAAGCAATGTACTCCACTGAATTGAAGTAATCAAATCCATATATTCCAAAATTAAAAAGTATCGAATTTAAATACAAAATTATCTGAGGAATTCAAAATTAATGAAGGTTTAGACAAGGTTGTAGCCTATCAAGTTTATTTAATATTTATACAAACAACATTCTGAGACAATGGAAGCAATGAAACTATTACAGGTGGCATCGAGATGAACTCTGAAACCTCTCTATAACACTGTTATTTGCAGATGATTAGATAATTATCAAAGAAAGTGTGGATCAGTTACAAAGGGCTCTCTATAAACTAAATGATAGTTGTGAACGATAACTCGGAAAACCAAAATAATGGCATTTAGAGAGAAACATCCTTTACGAAGTATAATAATAATAATAATAATAATAATAATAATAATAATAATAATAATAAATAATACAATTATAGACCACGTCAGCCATTTTAGATATCTAGGCTGTGATATAATTTTTGAATACAATAAATTTCTCTCAATAAAAACCCAAAGATCCAAAACGTGTGGTATAATAATAAAATAACTGAAAAAGGAAACACAACTTAAATTTTATATACTTAGAAAAGTTTAATTTAAAATTTAAAATGTACAATAAAATTTGTTGTATTATTGACAATGTTATCTTTACATTATCTTGATATGTTAACATCAGCTAACATTTGAAAATTCTTGGTGTATAAGAGTTATCAAAAATTTCATTTCAAGTTTTCAATATTTTTTCACACAGCCTGTAAAAATGCTCAATTCACCAAAACTGATATGATTATGTAAGCTTCTGTCGCTGGAGTTTGTATAATCTAGGCTATCCGGGATGAGCCATATCTCTGTCGTCATAGATGTCGCTCAGCCAAGAGCATACTGTTGGGGACTGTTCGGAAGTACGCTTTGACAAAGGTCACATGTCAGCCACCATGGCAGAGATGCAGCTCATCCCAGATAGCCTAGATTATACACCAAAAATGAACTTAGAAAAATCTTTTTTTACCTAAAATATTAATACTTTTAGTCCTGAACCTTTAACACCATGTTAATTCCAGAATCCTGGTCATTTAAGGTAATTTTGAGAATTTTTGTCAAGTGATAAATTAGAGATAATTGTATGAAATTCATGAAAAATATAACTTTGAACTTAGCCAGCAGAAAACATATTGGTTTGGGATCTTCAATGAAACTTACACACTATTAATTTGAATACAACCCTTTCTTTTGTCCAAAAAAACAAACAAATCTTTATGTACTAAATACAATAATGAAACATAATATATACACTAAAGCATAAGCTTCCATGGATAGAGCCAATATATATTCGGGCGTCTAGGAGACATTGCACCCTAGGCACAGATGCCCACATTTTAATCGCCGTGCCTTCCTAAAGGGAACTGCATGGAAGTGGGCTTGGCACAGAATAGATATAGGAGACAGAATACAGTACAGATACAATTTGCTTCTGTGGTGGTAAACTAAAACATCCTGAAGACACAGAGGAACGTGAGGAGCCTGACTGTTTTTAACAAGATAGAACGGTACTTGTTGTAAGCAAAAAAACATGGTATATATGATGCCCAAGTTATACTTTGGCTCTGTTCAGTGGAATTAAAACAGTAACTCAAACCATACTTGGGCATTGGACTGAAAGTTAAAAAATCTCATTTTGGGGTTGACAAAAACAAATGACATTGGATTTTATTTATTAGCTCTAGTTTGGTATATACACTCTCTTCTAATAGAAAAAAAAAAAAATCTTTGAAATTTGTTTCAAAATTTTGCCTATCATTGAGAGACAAAAATACTATATGACATTCAAATTTGTCTCCTAGAAGATGTCTTCCAAAACCAATACTTTGACTGACTGATTTTTCACCAAGCACATCAACTTCTAAGACTATCAGTCTTGTTAGTGCAGTGAATGCTTTATTCTGGGAATGCCATAATTACCCCCCACTGGATGGTGAAAATCAGCACTGACCTATACGTGGGCTTGTGGAAGATTTCTCTTTCCACATACAGCTCTTAGCAGGGCACCGCCTCAGGCATGACAAACTACACTTCCAGCTGGTTTTCTGACATATACAGTAGCATAGTGCATGTAATTGTGTGTGTAAGTTAAGAACAAAGGATAGGACGTGGAAAAGGAAGGAAAGATCATTTAGTTCATGGTCCGTTTGATTGGGCATTTGCCTAGTGTTGATCGGATAAACCAATGAAAACTATTAATCAAGAGCTGCGACTGCTTGAATTCTCCTCCAGATAGCTGCTTAATTTCACCAAGCTGTACAGCTACCACTGAAAATCCAAATATCTTATCAAAATCTCTGCATGCACTTAAGTCCTGACTTCTGTGATCTTCCACGCAAGTGGCATTGCCTTTAGATATATCAATAATAAAATCATTTAGTTAAAAGAGAATTAACAATTGTGACTCAGATTTATTTTTTATTGATTAATGATTCAGGGGACATCAACTGCTAAGGTTAGTAGTTCTATAAGTGATGAGCAATTTTTTTTTCCCTTTGGAGGTGACGGTGATCTTCCTCCACTGGATGGAGAGATCTGGCACCAATCTACCCTTGGCAAGAGTAAATTACCAGGTATCTCCAAATAGCAGGGTACTGTGCCAACCAGGACACTTTCTATGCACCTGACTGGTCCCCTGGATGTAGTACAAGTAAGTGTAAGTGTGTGTAAGTAAGGGGTAGGATGAGGAAGAAGAAGGAAAGATTGTACATGGTCTGTTTGTTAGGGTACTGCTTCAGCAATCGCCTCGTACTGATTGGAGAAACCATGGAAAATTAATGATCAGAGCAGCTGCCGCTAGAAATCTACTTCAGACAACAATTGAACTCAACCTAGCTCTCTAGATAGTATTCCAAATCTTGCCACTGGTAGGACTTGAACCTAGGACCTTCCGGTCAGAGGCACTGCAGTGATGCCCAAAGCCACCTCTCCCGATATTAGTGACTGAAGTGTGTAGCTCATTGTGGCCCAAAACAATGATGATGCTTGCCTCCTCATTTCTTCCTCTCACCATCTTCATCTAAATCTAACTTATGGGTATACTCTTCTCAGAGGTGAGGCAGTCCATCTCCACTGGTTGAATGCTGATGAAGATTGTTGGGATATTCCAGCTTGTTCCTTTTTTCTTGAGATGCCAATCAGCAGGATGGATATTATGCAGAAACACTATGATTGGAAGGCTTTCTCCAAATTTTTGAAATTCCAAAGGTTCTAAATACCTTTTTTTATTTCAATCATCCACATAAAATCACAGAATCTGAAATCCAATTAATACGATATTTATAGCGGTGATATGATGTTAAGAGTTGCATAATGGAATTTCTTGGCAAATAATATCACCCAACCACACCAAAAAAAAATAGTGGTGCTACAGAATGACACTTGTTTGATGTTGGGATCCTTATAATGTGTATTTCTGTCCAAATCAATTTTGGCGGAACTAAACTTCTTTTAATAGCATTTACATCAACTTTTGCAGCATTCTCTAAATACACACACATGTAAATGCACACTTACTAACACCAACACTCAACAAAAATCACTAACAGACTTCAGACAAGCTATAATGAGAAAATTTAACAACACAGTAGTAAATTTTTATTAATTTTATTATGACTCTATTCAATTAAACCAACATCTCCTGACTTCACATTTCCACATCTCTACATTTCCATATTTATAAAAATTACCTTTGGGTCAACCCTGCTGCAGTTATAAGCATAATCTCAATTCATCAAATTTCATAAAAAGTGGCATTATTTAAATGAGCAAAATTAGAAACCAAGTTCTAAATTAAACAGTTCTAGTTGAAAATTTTTCATGTCATGTTCATTTTTCTTATTTGAAACATTAACAATGAGTTATTTTCAAATCAGAAAGATTTTATTGCTGTTATGCTATCACAGTGTTGCCTTTTTTGAACTCAGACCGCTCATCATCTGAAATAGATTCATTTAGAAATAACAATTATTATTTTATATTTTTATTTCTTTGCTTTGCTTTTAAAAATTGCATTAGTTGAAATGAATCTAACCTTTGTATTGTAGTGCAATGTTGCTGGTTTATATGAAGAGGACATTTCTTTAATTGCTGCCATACATACTGCATACATATTGTACTCTGCACATATGAAGTGTTTTGTTAGTTCAACTTGCTGCTTTAGAGCGCAATTAAAACCATGTTCTAGTGGACTTGGAGCTGATGCTGAAACAAGATTTCTTTGCAATGTTTTTCAAATGGTAATGAAATATGTTGTCTCAGTAATCAAATAATTTTCAATGTATTACAAAATATACATTACCAATATTGTTAATACCTGTATGAGTATGTTCTGAATGTACATTATTGGCTTCCAGAGTTAAACTATTCACTTGAGCCATAGACGTGAGTGACGTTTTCATGATGGTTTCCATTCTTTTCTCAAAATCATATGCTTCTGCCAAGAAATTTTCAGTTTGCGTGTAAGCATTGCGTGCTGCACTTTGGAGAACAATGTTACTCTTTCTCATTAGTTTCCATTCATTCTCTAAATATTTTTTTCTTTTATGACTTTTCTCAGAGTATTTGGAATCCTTTTTTCTTGGCCTGTTGGGTTTATCTGAAGATGCCTTCAAATCTTGTGCTGAATGATTCTTCATTACAGAAGATTCCCTTGGTTTGTACTTAATACTTCGGTTTCCACTATTCTCTTCATGACTGATATCAGATTTATTTTTCTGTAGAGTAATATGTCTGTGGTCATCTTCCATAAAATCAGGAATACTTTCGTCATAAGAATGGTTGTCATTACATTGATCTCTTCTAAACATGTTTTTTCCATTACTTTCACCGAGTTCTGATTTAAATGCATTTTCCTTTACTTTTGTTTTACTTTCTGAAGAACTATGAATTTGCTTAGAGACATAATTATTTTTGTCACTGTTGGAACTTACTATTGACTCTTCTATATCCTCCTCAATAGACGATTCATCTACATTTGCAATGAGTTCTTTAAGTCTTTCTTCAGAAAAATTTCTTGAGGTTTCATGACTCTCATCAGATTTTGAATTACGTTGCAAATAATTAGTAATTAACATGTTTGCCTGGACAGACTCATCTACTATGGCAGTCTGTGCAATCAGTTGACTATTTTCTTCACAATTTCCTTTTAGTTCTTCAGAAACTGATTTTAAATCTTCTGCTCCAATTAAGTCTTCAAAAGCAAAGACACGAATGGGTACATTTTTAGAGCTGATTGAACTTTCCAAAGAAAGGCTGGCAATGCCTTTACTGGATATATCACTCACTTCATCAGTATCTTCATCTAATTTTAAATTGAGATTTACATGCAAGCGACCTTTCTTGATTCCCATCTCTTCATTGTCTACTGTAAGTAATGCTTTTGGGCCATTCCTTTCCAATTTTTTCTCTCCTGATTTAAGATCATCTTTCAAAGAGTGCTCTGCAGAATCATGATTATCTTTAAGAAATTGAAAACCACTTGTTTGACTTACATCTTCAAAAGAATAGTTGAAAGCTAATTTGTCTGCCAAAAGAATTTCATTAGTGTCACTTAAAAACATTTCATCAGTTCTTTTAAGGTCTTCATCACATTCATATCTACCACTTGCATGTGGACTCTCTGTAGCATTGTTCTTTTCAATCACATATATTCTCTCTTTCTCACTTGTCTTACTAGTGTCTTTTAATGATTTTGAAAGTGTCTGTCTGTCTAAATCATTTGTTGTTTTGGATTCCAAAGGGCCTAATTCATTCAGTCTCTCTTTATGATTTTTACTTACTTCAGAATGAGATATTGTATTGCTTTCTATAAATTTAATATTATTAACTAAATGTTCAGAAGAACTATTTTCTTTAGATGATAAAAAGTCATCATCATTAGTCTGATTACTTTTTTGAATAGGTTTTGCATATTTTTTTTCAAATTTTGAAACTTTGTCAAGAATATATTTACAGGCGCTTGATCTCATGGCGAATGCAAAATGTCCTAGAAAGTAATTCTAAGCGGAAATGCAATGAACACAATAAAACAAATCATGTGTGTTGAAAGAAAACTAGTATTTCGTGCAGCCCACAGCTTTGCATGTGACTGGTGGCAGGTTTTTCAATAGTGTATTCTATTGTACTATATTTTAGTTATTCCTTTACACTATTTTCACTTTGACATGACATATTACTTTTTGAGAATTACATTGTTTTTCCAAAAAAATATTTCACTGATTTAAGGTTTTAGTTCCACACTGTATAGTGTTAATTAATAATTTTTAATCAATATTATGTGAAATAAAAATGAAATAAATTTGAATAGGTTTTATCACTAACAAATTACTTAAATCCCCAAAATATCTAACATAAAATTTAAATTATTTTAAAAAGTGCTAATGAAAATTGCATGGAAGCTAATTTCAGATAACACAAAATAAGAGTAAAGAATGAAAATACGTAAAATATTAAATCACAGATAGTCTTTCTTGACAAGCAATGACATATATTAAAAAAACAACTATTATTGTACCATTATGATACAATGCTATGTGATGATGTCCTTCCCCAATATTAATGCGCACACCAACTAATTAGCATTCATTGCATGTACAACCATTGTCTTCTATCTAGTTACATGAGCAGAGATTATTTAACCTTCAAATATTCATACATTGTTTGAACACGCACTACATTACATTTGGTATAATTCTACGATTTGCTTATAATAGTACGACTTGATTAACATGGACCAAAATACTTCCGAATGGAATTCTTCGTATTTAACGAGTCGTTTATGCTGTTTTGTTGCTCTGAGGTTCCGTGGCGGAACTTCCGTCCGATCGTCAACAATCAACAACTTTCTCGCAGCCCTCACGCTCATGCGCTTGGCCACCTGACGCTACCCCACTCCACTCCACATACTCCATATATACTCTCTGCCACTCCACCCCAAAGAGGGGAAAAGTGTTCCTTGAGCCCACCATTCAAAATAGTATTATTTTTAAATAGTTATCGTCATTCACCCTCGAGTGTTCGAGCCTCCAACCAAAAAATGGATTGGAGAAGGGTGTGCCCTAGAGCAGATAATTATTATAAGGCTTTTGAGTGTAGAAATATTGCGTATTGTTATCGTGGTGTTATGCGAAAACGCGCACTCAAGAGGCTATAGTTCAAGCCAAAGAGTATCCTGAATTCTCTGAAAGATTCTCTACATTTGTGAATAATCAGATAAGTTGAATTGCTTCTGGTTGATGACTAATGGACATCTGTACATTTGTCAACATAACGTTAATTTCTTAAAATAATAAACCCTAAGAAGGTAAGTTGAGTTCTTTGGTTATTCACGCTGTATCAATGATTTGAGATCGCTGATCAAAATCAAATAAGACGAGTTGTCTCTTCTTTCACTCCGAACGATTAGCTGAAATAATCACTGAAAAGCAATTTGTATAGTTATCGGTTTATTCACGTAAATATTTTTGTTGAAGAGCTCATGACCAGGGCCCGGATTCTGAAGATGTCATCAATTCATTAGTGCATTCTAGCATGATAGTGAAAAAGTCGCTTAAAAAATGGCGGATGTCGCATTTCGGTTGAACTCTGAATTTTCGAAAATTTCAAATGTTGAAAACGTTTTCGGCGCTTTTCTTCAACTAAAAAAACAACAAACAAAACAACTTAACGAAATCTTTTCTTCAAATAAAATCATGTACATTTTTTAATATATTAGTAGTTGTCGCTAGTAACTTATGTGACATATAAGCAAGTTATTTATTATTTTTTCAAAAACGGCTCCAATATCGTTCTGGGATAGAGCAAAGTACGGTTATAAAAACGGCGCAGGATTTTTTAACGGTGAACTCTTTGTATTTTAGAAAATTGTTAAAAATTAACATCGCCAAACCAGAGTATTGATGAAAGAGATTTTTTACTTAATGAAATACGAACAACCGAGATACCCGGTACATTCTTTATATTGAGGGCAATGGAAATGGGGAGAAACCGGAAAACCAGCTGACTGTGGATTACTAACATCCTCAACCCTAAGCAGGTGAAACCTGCAGTATTGAAAGAGCAAGCGTAAAAATAAATATATTCTTTAAATTTAGAACTTTAAGTAAGGCCATGGTAATTATTTTTGAAAATATGAGTGGTTTCGCGTTATTTTAGCAATATTAAAAATTTCAAATTCGTATTTGTTGCTGAAAAAAGTATATCAAGAGGTCAATGGACCTTCCTTCTCTATTGCTATTAAAATTGTATGTAATTTTGCCAAATGTTTATAACTAAACAAATTGCAAAGTAAAATATTATAAAAAAAGAGATGTGTCGCAATTCGGCAATGTCAACGCCCTGACACGGCAATTTGAAATCCAACGAATTACTTTTCATTATTGGGCGACAATGTTTCTCGCAGCTTTGGATAGTCGAGTTTATGTTGATATAACAGCTTTTAAAGAATCGATTTCCTCACACCGTGAATTGATTGATAATGATAGTTGGTATTGAGATTGTAATGAGATTTAGAACTGATGGCTGAGATGAGTTGACAGAATATTGACAGAAATTGCCGTCTTATAATACGTTATATATTACGTAACCGTTACTAACGAGAGAAAGTACGTATAGAACCGTTTGTAGAAGTACTAGTTTATAAATAAAGTGTTCCTATGAGTTAAACTTAGTTATGATTTTTTTAAATTTGATTATATTTGTACACACATATTTTGTAGCCAAGTTTTGAAACAGTTACGAACAAATAAAACCATGAATATTGCCTATGTAGTACCAAGTAAAGGTCTTTAGAAAATTTAAAAGACAAATGTAAAATTATTTTAAATATCTTTCAGGGTCATTTTTGTACACCCGGTAGATAATTTAAATTTAGCGGGCAGTTAAGGGCATCTATACTATTAAAATACTTCCTCCATGCCTCGTGGGTTATACACGGAGTAAATAAGATTATTTGATGTCATCAGTTCGTCATAGATTCTATGGCGCAAGCCTTGGGTGCTGCTTCCTTGACTTGTTTCTTGACGAAGTACACGATTGCATGCATTGCATGGGTTTGTGAAGTACATCCCTGCTTTTGTATGTCGGAGTTCATTCAGTTTTGTTAAAAGTATTTAATTTGTGTGATATTCGGTTGACTTAAAAATTATTTGGTTGTAATGGCAGACGAAGAATACGAGGGAGATGAGTAAGTGAAGCACTGTTGCTATAACTAACCTTTACATTCAGGCGAAGTAATTAATACTTCACTCTCAATTTTTCAGTGGCGGTGACGATTTCGATGATGTTGACGAAGATGAAAATTTGGAGGAAATAGATCAACAGGAAGTAAGTGTCTTGTGATTCTGCCGAAAAATCTTCCGTAAACAGAACACTTTGCAGGTTACTTCTAATTCTGTATTGGACTTCAAGGATAGCTTTCTCATACATTTGTTAGCTATGTACTCCGTGATAGCTCTTGCTAATGGGTAACCTAGAGCTCTGAAGGCATTGATTAGAATTATATAATTTTAATATTTTTTGTGCGTTAACCTATCAAGGTCGGAAATTTTTTATTGAACCACGAATAGGACATAAAAAGTTAAACGTATTCATATTCGTGTTGTAAATGACATGTGATTTTTGCGAATTTTGAAATGTCAAGATTGAATGATATATGGAATTATTTTTCTCTTAATAAAGAATGCTCTTTTACAACTACATTGGAGCTTTTTAGAGTATTATTAATATCAATGCTGAAATTGGGGGAAGGAAGGCAGGATATACCTCAGATTTATATGAAATGTCAATTTTTTTCTTTTTACTTTAGAACAAGCTATGTATAGATATTTTGTTACGATAAAAGGAAATGACCCATTTTCAGTAACATATCGAACAGTAACATACAGATCAAAATGTTCATGGAAATTGGTCTTGATGAAATTTTGTATGTAATTTTTCTTAGCTTTTAGGCCATTTATAAAACCTTTTATTGACATTTTGGGTAGTGTTTTAGGTAGTTACAATCTGCCCCTACTCATAGCTATAATTCAAGAAGAATAAAATTTTTAATTCGTCATATAATTTCTTTTTAAGCAGTCAACACACTACACATTCCCCCCTTCCTTCGCCCAAGAAAAATCCTGGTTGTGCCATTATGCAAGTTGTGTCAAGATGTTCAGCTAGTGTTTAGGATTTGCAGTAATATTACATTCATGCCACTTGGTAATTATCAGGAATATACATGTTACACGATAAGTTTTATTATTATTATTATTATTATTCTATTATTATTATTATTATTATTATTATTATTATTATTAATTGTCCATGTTTGCTTAATGCCATTTTTTTCATTCATTCACGGTTCTATTCTGGAACTTCAGATCACCACAATGTTGTATCACAAATTATTTCCTGGTAAGATGTAACAGCAAGAACAGTAAAAAATTCATTTCATGAAGCGTTAAACGATTATTTGGTTAAGCAATAAATGTTAAAATGAATATACATTGGCCTTTGCCTCCATGCTTCAGCTTGTGTGAGATCAGCTTGTCGCACACGTATTACTGAAAGTATTATATATTATGAAAATTTTTATGGACTTTTTGTTGTTATGTAAATTGCTCTTCCATTCCTCCAGAAAAGTGCCGGCGTCAAAACTCGCTCTAACGACAATTTTTTCTTTTCCATTTAGGACTTCCAATACTGATAAATAGTTTCCTTTTAAATTCAGGAGAAATTAAAAAAAAAATCCATTGCTGTACATCATCATTTTGAGGTGCTGGAAAGAACCTAAAATTTCAATTTTAATGAAAATTTAAAATTTGTTTGTGTATTTAAAAAACATAAAAGATTTGCGCACAGAGAAAAACATGTTTTTTTAGATACTATTATGTAGAGAAATAAAACTGAAGGATTTGCAGTGCAAAAAAGTGTTTTAAACAAAAATATATTTTGTGGGTCCCTTGTACTGAAGGGGATAATTCTTGCTCTTATGTGTAATAAATTACTTTCTGTGATTCATCAGAGAACATTTTTCTGTTATTCAGGATGCCCATATTGTGGATTGGTTGCATTGAACAATTGATTTACCACAAAACGTTCATTTATCTGTGAACTACACTTGTGCCTAATCTATTCTCAGGATTTTCAATAAAATTGATGTTCTCTGATTGACCTGGCTATTGTAGCTGCTTGGGGAAAAGTAATAGAGTAATTTCTGATTGGAGTTAATGCAAGTTAGAAAAAAAAGTTCAAAAGGCTCAATGTTTCAAATAGTTAGAGGAAGGATGCTTAAAAAATATTGCAGGACTCTTTTTCATTGAACATTGTTTTAGAAAATTGCAAAAGTTAGAAATTGTATGAGAAAAACTGCTGTTTGTAGCACAAACAAGTTTCGTTGTTTCTTGTGGATGGTCCAATTACTCAAATATTCCAATCTAATGGTAATTTATAACCCACTGAGTCATTTGTATTGTCATTGTCATCTTTCAAATATGCCATGCTATTTATCTGAGGTACATCATTCCAAGAGCTGCGGGTACAGTTGTTTGATCAGTAAAAAGAGTGCATGCCTTAGCGGGCAACAATAAACTGCAATCTCTCTTCTGCACACGTGCAGATACACAAAAGTGATGCGAAACTTGAACTGTGCATGTCCAGGAGATCAATAGTGCTTTCGATTGTTTTAACAATCGAGTGTGCACCAATTCCTTATTGGCAACGTTCCAATCATAAGTCTAATGTTAGTTTGCAAGTACAAAAGTAGTGTACTTTTAAACATTTGTATTTTTTCTTGCTCTTTAGGAGGAAGGTGAAAACATAGACCTGCTAGCAGCTGGTGCTGCTGGAGGTGGTGTTCAGAAATCTAAAAGGATTACTACCCGTTACATGACTAAGTATGCATTTTTTCAATACAAATATAATAATAATAATAATAATAATAATAATAATAATAATAATAATAATAATAATAATATGGAATAGAAAAGTGTTTATAAGAATTTTTTGTATTAGGTATGAAAGGGCAAGAGTTCTGGGAACAAGAGCTTTACAAATAGCGATGTGTGCTCCTGTTATGGTGGAATTGGAAGGAGAAACTGATCCTCTACAAATTGCCATGAAGGAATTGAAGCAGCGCAAGATTCCTATTATAATACGACGATATCTTCCTGACAACAGTTATGAAGACTGGGGAATTGATGAACTTATTATTATTGATCATTAATTTATTTTTTTTACGTAATATGTAAATGCAAATGTGATAAAGTGAAATAAAACTCTAATTTTATTTCATTACTCGCAGATGTTCAGTTTTTGAACAATGCATAGCAGTAATGTTTTGTTATGTACGTTACTTCGTGACATCTGCACACTTGAATATGTTGATTGGGGTTATTTTTGTATTTCACTTATGAATACTAGAGAGAGGTATTTTGACCTAGATGAAGTTGATAAAACTGCAAACTTGGATGTATTGTAAGGATGTACATGAAATGTTCTGAGGCAATAATATGACCATTATTGTGTGAAATTCATCTTGCATGCTTCACTCCAAATGGAAGTAAGTTTCAAATTGTCACGGTACGTTCTGCTAACTCTAAATACCTCTTCATTTAAGTTTCAACTGCCACTGTATGTGGTTGCAGTGTGATAGTTCTCAATTGCTAAACTAAACATCAGATCAGTGCCAGCAGCATGTTATATCCTGGGAGCTACACACTTAGCAAGTTCTAATTTTGTCCTGGAATATTTACAGAAAACATCTTTTCACTTTTCAAGGATCCAAAAAAAGATTATGTAAATAGTGAGAAATTGGTTTTGTTTTAATAATAAAAGGAACATTAATGATGTATTATTAATATTATCCTTTATAGAGAAATTAAGCTTTGCATGTCAAAATACACTAATTCTACTCCCCCCCCCATTCAGTTCAAAAATCTATGATGAAATGAGCGTGGAATTTCTAAGGTTCAAAGTAATGACTGCATTGAATTCAATACTGAAGAAAGAAATAATTAAAACATGCTTTGTAACTTTTCCCCATTGTGCCCATACCTGCTGCCTTTCCAACTTTACGGTCGGAATATTATTAAATTCGTGAAGAGCTGACATGAAATTGCACCATATTATCTTCAATAAATCAATAACAATATGAAGGTACCCTCTTATGCGCCAGAATCCCCTAGGTGTGACAGTAGGTTGGGAAGGGGGTGGTGGTAAATTATACATAAAATTAACTTCCTTTTCCTTTCTATAGTGATAATGATTAATAAAATACATATGCAACATAGGGTACTTCAGCTAGTCATATGTTTGTTAGTCCTTGTTACAGTATTGAAAAAATTTTACTTTCTACACATGGAGAAAAAAAACAAGACAAAACTTTGATATATGTTCTGTTAATTCTAACACACTGGTTGAAGTGTGCTAGTTTTCTATATATGTGTGAAGCTAAAAATCTTTTATAAAGATAAAAACACTAACACCCAATTTGTGGGTCAAGCAACCTCTAAATGGACAATGTTGTGTTATAGGCACTAGTTGCCAAAATAAGAACATATTCACTTGTCTCAGAAATAACTAGTTTGGATTTTGCATTCATTTAATTGGATTTATCTATCTGAATAGGAAATGTACTAAGATAGTAGAAGGGAGAAGTTTTTTAAATGTATGATTTCTAAATGAAATGTACACAAAACACGTGACGGCGATGGTGTAACGGTTAGCGTACTGGACTGTTGTACCCAAGTTGGCGGGTTCAAACCCGATCGAAGTCGTGGATTTTTTAAGGGCGAAAAATCCTTCGTACGCCTTTCTTCGGAGGGGAAGTAAAGCCGGCTGTCCCATGTTCGTAAATTTACTTGCATGTAAAAGATCCTCAAGCCTAAATGACGCCTCTGAGCTGAATTCAAATCGCCTGTTTCTCGCCCAAGAAATACCTCCTTTCTCTCCTAGTTGGTGAAAGGAGCGTAGCGAAATTTGCGTGGTCAGATGGAAGAGCGGGCCCGATGGCCCGAGTCTCGCCACGTAAAATAAGGCAAATTCAATTCATTTCAAAAAACATGATACAACAAAAATATTGCAGGCATTGCCAGTCTCGGTACATTGATATGAATACCTTGATGTTCAAAACTATCAAATTTGACAAAGAACTACCTACTAAAGAACAAAAAGATGAAACACACAATCTGTGAGAGCTGAAGCTACAAGCATTCTCTGAAAATATGAAATTATTTAGAATTTATTGCTTCATGGGATGACTGTATATTAATGGAACGAGGAGAATAATTATGAATAAACCTTGTGGAACAACTAGACATTGGATGATAAGGCACAGAAACTTATGTTTTAGGCACCTAAACAGGCACTACAATTTTTTTAAATAGGCTCCGAAAAAGCCATTAAAACTTAAAATTGGAGGGAAAAAAAAAAAAGAAATGCATTTCACTGCACTTGCATCTAAAATTAGCCAATAGAACATGAGAGTAAGGCTATTAATGAATCATTAGTGAGTGAGAGACTTTGGCATCTTTACAGAGTGAGCTCGGTTACTACACTTAGAGGCACTGATGAAGTACTTAACATGGAGCACAACTGCGAGCAGAAAGAAGACTCACCTCGTGCCCGGCAGAGATGGCTCAACCAAGTGCCCAGAGACCACATTTTTTTTTAAATTTCATTTTATTTGTGCAAAGAAATGAGAAAAAAGAAATCTGAAGTCTGCAACTGAACAGGCACTACAATTTTTTAAAAAAGGCACTGAAAAAGACATTAAATACTTGAAATTGAAGGGAAAAAACAGAAATGTATTTCATTGCACTTGCATCTAAAATTAGCCAATAACACCACAACGCCAAATAGACCACAATGAGAGAAAGGCTCATGGCATCTTCACAGAATGAGCTCAGTTACTACACTTGGAGGCACTGATGAAGTACTTAGCATGGAGCACAACTTGGACAACTGCAAGCAGAAAGAAGACTCACCTTGTGCTCGGCAGAGATAGCTCAACTAAGTGCCCAGAGACCACGGTTTTTTTATTTTTTTATTTTATTTGTGCAAAGAAACGAGAAAAAAGAAATCTGAAGTCGTAATGCTAGATTTTCAGTTCCAAAAATTCAGTGACCTGCAATCCCAAATGACAGATTCTGTTGAGACAAACACTGGAGATTCATTACCGGTAGAAAATTTATGTGATTAGTAGAAATTAAAATGATTTTAACTAGTGTTTGTAACCAACAATAAAAAGAAATATAAATTTGAAGAAAAAGATGTCTGAAATGACATTTGTCACAAAAGACCAAAAAAAAAAAACGGAAAAATAATTTGGTCAGAATGTTTTAGTTTTCCATAATTCATCTACACTATATTAAAAATGTGTCTTTAAGATATTTTCATTTTAGAAATACATGGAGAGGTGCATTTCCTATTGATTTCCATCCGATGTCTAGGTTAATACAAAACATGTCAAACTCAGTCTTTAGCTGGTGAACAAGTTGGGGATTATTAAATTTATAAGTTACATCTGTTGACATTATAAATAGACAGAACAATTTATCTACATAACTACTGTAACCTTGTTGAATCTTCTTCTTCCCTGGTTGCAGTTTTTATCTTATATCCAAAATTATATAAAAGACAACATATTTAAGTTATGTAGTGAAGTTCTGGTAACTCTCTGTACGACAGAAACTTGCCACGACAACAACATATTTTAGACAGAATCATCAGTTTCTGTATTAGACAAATTTTACTGTTTTCACGTACATGTTTTAAACTCACAATTGCTTGGTAACTATTCATTAACTAATGTAACTATCAATAGTAACTAACTATAAAACATTGCTACAAAAATAAAATATTAAAACTAACACATTACTTTCCTGACTGTCATGATCAATGGGCAGAATCAAAAGATTTCATGAAAAAATCTCATTGATAAGCCTTTGTCTTTCATATTATTACACCAAGTTCCAACTTCAGAGATCAGGCACTTGGGTCCAGAAGCATACACATTAACAGTTTGCCTGTAATATAATAGTTCTCAATTAGTAGCACATCAAGCTTGACTGTATTTCCAATAATATTTGAAACAAGGTTTATAAAAACAAGAGGTATGCACATATCTGGGCACTCCTTTACCCTTAAAATATTTTACATACTTATAATAAATTCACTATAAGCAGAGTAAAATTGCTACTAATTAGAATTACATGTAATAAATATCAAAGAATGATGGGATGATCTATTTACTATAGAAAAATTCAATATTTGAAATGTGTGATGGCTGCAAATTTATTTATCATTATGTCTGCAGAGAAGTACAGTCTTGTTCCACATAGGAAAAGTAATTTTATTTAATCATTGTTATTAATCATGACTTTTCTCAACTTATTTTCTATACACCTCAATTTTGAAAATGTAGATCCAGATGAACATCTTGAAACACCTAAATTCTGACAAGCATTTGATCTGTTGCCGTCGTCATTTCATTTATTGATCCCCTCAAAAAGCAATAAAAAAACGTACATGACATATGGTAGAGAAGTATAAGTAAGTGTTTCTTTGAGCTTCGGAGACCCTATGCCAATTTCTTACTAAACATAAATTATAAAGAAAGGTACTAACATGGCACATTTTGAAAACTAGAAATTCTCACTTTCAAGTTATAGACCAGGAGTCAGAAAAAAAAGCAAAAACATTTATAAGCTAAAACCTTCTGAGAAGTTAGCTAGTGATATGGTTATGACGCTTAGAGATGTCGAAACAGTATGGTATAGTATGATCATAATCGGCAATGAATATTTTTCTATCATTTGACAGAAAATTAGCCTTGAACTTTGCTAGCTTGAACTACAGGCATGAACCTCTCTCAAGGGCCATGCACATGAGTGGCATCATTCCTTATGGGACTTAAACAGGGCAAATTTTGTCCAGCGATGTATGGTTAGTTATATGCTCCCCTACACGAACCGCCACTACTGTCTTGCTATGAGTGCAGAAAAAATGTTTAGTATATGTCTGTGGTGCAGACCAAATTTTCTTGCTTCCTTATTGTAGTTTTGGTGGAAATGGAGAGTGGGATGTCATATCTTTAATCGACCCTGATGTCACAAGATGGGTGAATAAATTCATAGAATGACTGATGAGAACGAGGACATTGTTTCGAAATTCAAATCAGAACGCTGTATTTTAAATAATTAAAGCGATCCTATTTATTTTCATGCAATATGATAAGTGAGAATATGTTCATGAGGAGATAATGAGTATGTGCATCTTGGTTCGTGTTTTCTGTTCTAAGGTTGCTAAGGAAAGCTGGAATTGATGTCATCGAACAAAACAGTGTCACACTCCAATCTGCGACAGAAAACTCAATTTTTTATCTTGCAAAACTAGGGAGTCCCTTTTAACAATGTGCCATCTGCCTCTGAGTGTGCACACCTATGAACAGGAAAAATAGACAATAGTAAACTTCCCACTTTTTAATAAAATTTAAATGGCATTTTAATGTAAACCTCAAAAATGGCTCCAATCTTTCCCGTGTAAAGCAAAGAATGGCAAAGAAAGTGGTGCTGGTCCCATTTTCGGAGAACTCTGTATTTTGGAAAATTGCAATCTACAAAAAATAACCACTGCAAAAGTACATGATAGTTCCTTTGTGAAATGAAATGTTAAAAAACTCAGTTATTTAAAAACAGGTTTATCATTTTCTTAAAAATATGAGTAGTTAAGCGTAATTTTGCAAATTTTTGAATTTGCACATTTGTTAGTTTCAGAATTTATCGTAAATTGACAATGGCAAGCCCATCATGATATGGTAGTTTAAATTTGGAGAATTTCTTCTCTTTGTTGATGTATGTTATAGCTGTAAGAAATGCAGTTTTAATTGTCAAATTTGTGTTGATATGTTAGCTTCAAAAGAATTGTTTTCACACCTAATGTTCTACTATATGTAATGTGTTTTACAAGTGATGACTGAGATGTGATACGATAATCAGAAATTGTGGTATTATAATATTACATAACCTTCACTTCGTGTGAGAAAGTAGCATCTCAAGTTTTCATTTCTTACGAGATTCACATACTGATTTACACATGAAAAATATTTTACTATAGCTGTACATTTGCCATCATTATTGAATTGAAAATTGGTCAATAGTCAACATGAGATTAGATTGCAAAACTTCTGCAGTTAGTATTTGTTAGGTGTGTGGGACCCACTAATGAGAATAAAATCAAGATATCATACCCAGAATACATATCCAGTAATTCATTAAATATTTCATGCCAGTTAGGGCGGCCTTTCCATATCCTCTGCACCAGCAGTTTACAGTCATCATTTATAGCCTTCTGGAATACAATTTCAATGAAACAGAAGTGCCAAAGATTTTATTAAGCATGGAAAATTAATGAGTCATTATTACCTGAATTTTGACTGCATTATAATTTCTGGTTATATGCACTTGAATGAAAAATTTATCTGGTACATTTGCCTGCCAGAACTAGAAAACAAATGAGTACAATTATAAAAATTTTAAGCTACAAAATAACATTATTATTAAAAACCTGCTCAATGGTTTCTTTCTTTATAATAAAGCATGTTCGATTTTAAAAAATTTTCTCTAGTTAAACAATATCTTCCACAAATGGTCAGTTTTCTTTCTGTGTTAATGAAAAGATACCTTCTCATGAAGATCACAAAGCAATTTGGCACACCATAACAACTGTTCTGCATCTTGCAGCAGCCACAAGAGGTGAAGTCTTCTTGGGGTATTCTGAAGAGTGGAGTTCCTAATGAAAATAATAAAATAATTAAAACATCCTAAAAATATGAAATAATAACACTTAACATTACATTAAAAATGTGAGGTAGTTGAAAGAGAAGAATGTCTACTATTGAAATCTTGCTTCTCTGTTTCTGCATATTCTTCTTAAATATCTCTCTTATTCTCTTCTTAAATATTTTAAAACAAAACAAAACAAAACAAAACACAAAACAACAGGATATGAATAGGAATGGTACCTATGCCAGTTCAGTTAACTGTGTTAACAGACTCATTGTTTTAATATTTAATTTTCTTTATTGCTACTTTTTAAAATTCTTTTTAAGTTTATGGCAGATTCATATACTTACAATAAGTAGTTAAGAATTGCAATAAAAGGAGTAATCCCTATTCCAGCAGCAATGCACACTGCAACTGAAGAGTTCAAAACTTCTTCTAAAGGACTCCTAAATGGTCCATCCACAAGAAATCTGCATACAAGAAGAAATCATAAAATAAAACTTCAATTAAATTTCTCATTGAGAAAGTAAAGCCCACAGCTGACTACATCGAGAGATGTGTTGTGAGAAACAAGAAAAGAGACCAGTGAGGCTGTGTCCACACACTACAAACAGGTTATTCGAAATGCTCTTATGTGCCACGAGCACTGCACTGCATACAAATCATTATTTAATGTGAAAAACAGGAATTTATGTGACGTAGAAGAGAGAAGTATAATCTGCATATTTTCTTGAGCTCTGTAATCTCTACCCTCCTCTGCTTTACTATATTTGTTGGTTGAATTATGAACAAATGGTGAATGATCAAATAATTCATAATAAAATTCACAATAAATCAATTCATTCATAAATAGTAAATAAGAATTAAGAAGAATAATGAATTAATTAAATTCTTTCAAAATATCTCAAGTTTCTTACTTCAAATTTGTATACTGCTTATTATGGGTTTAATTCGAGGAAGAATATTTTATAAACATTTTTTTTCTAGTTATTCATGTTTAAAGATAAAATTCAAGTATGCAAATAAAAAAAAAGGATTGCTTATCACAGTTCAATGCAGTGTTTAGCAAATGCCTAAATGTCATATAACAAATGTGTCAAAGAAAACTTACTCAACGAACCAACTTAAGTGAGAAACTTCTAGCCTTTGTAGAGGCAAATGAGAAAACTCTTTCAGGTGTGTGGGGGTGGATAAATGTCTCTTATTTAGATTTTCCACATTTCTCATTGCACGTTTCTTGCAACACATTTCTCGGTGTAGTCTCTTGCAGCCTAATGCATTACAACTTACATTATTGGCTTACATGATGTTTTGTTGAGTAGTTTGGAGGCATAAGTTCCTTGAGCAAATGGGACTAAAACCCGACTAAGAAGTTCTTCTGAAAGAAATTGCACGAAATATTACAAATATATTGTGACTCATTTCAAGCAGATCTTATTTTGTGGACAAAATCACACACTCATATATAACAAAAACATACAATTATTTATGACCTAAATACAATAAAAGATATGAGATTAGATAAATGAGACTGTTAAGTCGTGTAATAAAGGCAGTTGTAATAAGATGAATATTGTACAATTTTAGTTCTACTTTATAAAATTTCAAATGAACAATATTTTTTGTTTTAATTTGACTCTTCATCCTGTGAAAGATGATATTCTGATTTTGATAGTAGTTGTGCCATGGATTAGTTCTAATATTACTTAGTTTGAAACTGATTGTTGTTGTTAATAGCGGGTCATGAGTTAGGGCTAACTTTTTTGGTTTAACCCTACCCTCCTCCTGAATGGGATACACATTAACATTAATAAACTTCCAACTTTGCACTTATTAATTAACAATTTTTTACAATTAAATGACTTTACAGAAAAAAAATTGAAGATTCTATGAAGAGGGACAACAGGGCCATGCCTCCCTATCTAGCCAACATTTTTTGAAATTTTACTAAATTTATTCAATATAACTGCCGTATATAGATTTTATTTCAAGCTAAAACTTTTTTTTTTCCTTCAAAATATTTATGACTGAAATTGGTCCTCTAATCCTGTGATATTAGCATTCTCCACAATTAACACACTGTTTAAGTTTTCTTTTCTCCAATTGATGAAACTGTGTATAATCAAAATACATTAAATTTTAAATAATGCAAATTAAATATTAATAACAGGTTATTTAAAGACTATATATGTGCCATTTTTGAAGTCAAAAGTTTTAATGAAAATGGGCATAAGTCGTAATTTAGTGCATTGCGGTGAATTTTTACAAACAATTTAAGGAAATAATTTTGAGTCTCTTTTGAAGGGGGGGGGGAAACAGAAAAAACAACAACATTTTTTAAATTCTCATGTTTTTACTCAAAATCTACTCATAAGTTAATTTGAACGAATTGTACATGACATTAAGAGCAGATTTTATAGAGTATCACTATATTCACTAATGTAGGAGGTTGCCCCAACAAATTAAACTAATCCAATTTTTTAAATTTTAGAGGTTTTACTGGCATTTGGACCTGTGCCATTTTTGTAAGCATACTTTGCTCTTTTTGAGTAAATATTTTAAAGAAAAAAATTGGAACCTGTTTTTGAGAAAATTTTGAATATATCTTAGCGGGAGGGGGGTGGGAGCTCTTGTAAAGTACCCCCACAAATTCAAAGATCCATTTCAAAAACTGAGGGCCACAACATCTTCCATGACGAACAGAATATCAGTTTTGATGAAAATCCTTTGTAAATTTACACTAAATTTATACTAAATTTACACGGTTAAGACTTCCTGATCCTAGTTAGATCCTTTTCTTTTTGAGTTGGTCCTAGCTTTTCTGTTTTAAAATTGGTGATTACCACAGAAATATTGCAGAAATATATATGGTTTGGTAAAATAGAAATGATTTTCAACAATAAAATATGTATTTTACATTCATATATTGCATTACAGAATAGATGTTTTGAGGAATTTTACCCCATCTTCAGTGCCCTGCAAGTAATGTATTAAACATGCCTGCTGACAACACCTACTGACTTCATCATTATATTTGTAAGAACGTTACATAAAATAATAATTCAATACATGTAGCAAAATAAAGAAAATAGACTTTTCTGATGCATACATATTCTATAACAGGCTTTGCAACTATGAATCTATGTATTGCAATTGCATTCACCAATATTTGTTGCCACTGCAATAAGGTATATATACTACGATCTATGCAACTCTGCCCCTGGCAGGTATCAGCTGTTGATGGTTTCATTCAATCGGGAGCTTGAACTTCACCCTAGTGATGTCACAATGGTGATGTTCAAGCTCCCAATTGGATGAAACTGTCAATTGATACTTGCCAGGGACAGAGTTGTGAAAATTGCAGTATAATCATAGTTACTTCACATTTAAAAATTATAAAAGTCACGCACAGCAATCAGTCAATTTCTCAAAATGAATAACTTTGCAGAAAATGTAGAAAGAAAACAAATAACCTTACAAAATTTACAAATAACCTCAAAAAAATAGAACTGTTTAGTTTTTTCTGTAATATTTATATAAAATATATAAAAAAAGGCACTGTTTTTGAGAAGATGCCATTGAAGCAATTTGAAAATGTACACATCAGAGTTCATTTACATTTGAAAACTTGAGATATCACATTCATTAAAGAGATAATTTGAAGCACTTTTCATTACTAATGCATTAAAATATAAAACATGGCTCTAATGAAATTATTAAAGAAATGAGAGATAGTTCAAAAAAGCTACACATGAGTAATTTATGACAATAAATTTTTTTTAACAAAATAGCACTCTTGCCATGTGATTGAATGCATTTTGATCTACCTTCTAAAAAATGTTTAAAGAATAAAGTTAGAATCTTTTTGTGGAAAATTTTGCTTAGAATATTTTAAAAATGTCTATTCCAATCAAACATACAAAAAATTTACTCGTATTTTTTTTTTTTTTTTGGGGGGGGGGAATGAAAAAATTACAAATTACATTATTTAAAGATCTATTCACTTTATCAGGAAATAATTCCAACTTAAAAACATCTTTATAGAAGAGGGTCCAATTTTGTACACGTTCAATTTTTGGAAATTCTGTGATATTAATGAGAAGTGGCCATCCAACAATTTTAAAAGCACACTTAACTGTATTTGTACAAGAAATTAAAAAATATTTAAATCATTTTTGAAAAAATGTTGCAAATGTTCTGGATGATATGTAAAAATATACATTTTAAATTTGCATGGTCTAGAGTGTGGTCAGAACAATCGGTACAGATGGTCGGTACAGAAATCAGCAAAGATGACGAAAAAACAGAGTATTTCATTCATTGATCGCAATCCAATGAATTTTAGTTTTACCCCTCCCCTCCTACGTTGGAGGAAAAAATAAATAAATAAAAATAAATAAAAAAAATAAACCTTTCATGTGACAGGGACCCTCAAAATTCCATCATATCTCGACAGTAATTTTTTGCAACATTATTACTTTTTAAATACTGTGTACATGAGAATATAAAACATCTCTGGAAAGAAGTCTAATAACATATTGTGTTACACAACAACATGTCATACAGTAATAACAAGAAATGCCATGTCATACAGTAATTCAAGAAATAGTTAATTTAAGTATTGCAATGAAACATATGATCACTTTAACATGGTTTTAAAGTGATTCATAAAAATACCATCACTTTCATTGCTACAAAAGTATTCACAATGACTAATGGTGAAATTTTATTCTTGCATTTGAAAATCAAATACAGTAAAATAGCAATGTTTCATCAATGCTACTAAAACTAAAGTGTTTACAAAATTTATTCAAAAATAAAAGTATGGTACAAGAAGGATCAGTCATTATAAAGTGATGATTTGATACAGACATGACAAGAAAGTTTGTAGTAAGTTTTCATGATGCATTGTTAAAAGTAAACAGAAACCTAGTATAAAATAGAAACTTAATAGCATAAAAAGTGTTAATTGGAATAATATTAACATGTTATTTAGTAACAATACCAAGAAAAATGCAAGTGAGAAAAAATAAGCATTAAAGTAAGTCCTTCCATGGTGCACTTAATGTGAAATACCTAGTAAGAGAGAGTAAATAAGACTATTTACAAGTAAGAAACTCTTTTCACTGAAAGTTGCTTTATTTGACATTTTAAATTTTATTCTATATTTGTAGAGCTTAGGCAGTAACAAGATAAGCCACACCAGCCTTAGTAAGCCCCCCCGATGTTGGTTAATGATATCTCAATTTTGGTGAAAGTGTGGCTTATCTTGTCACTATACATGTCTTGTTCATAGTTATGAAGGACGTGGAGTAGTAACAAAATGGGACACAGTTTCACCAAAATTAAGATATTAACATCAACTAACAGTGGGAGTCTTGCTAATGCTGATACGGCTTATCTAGTTACTCACCCCAGCTCTTCATTTGTATTCCTTAATTCAATATCTCTCTCCCTTGCATTATTCTTACTTCTTTTCAACCCAGGCAAAATTACAATTTCAAGAATTTATTTAGCCAAGCCCTTTAAAGTTCAGAAGATCATATAAAATTTGTTAAAAAGGGCAAATGTGCATTGCAATAGAAAACATGCTAAAAGTAGAGGAATAAAAAATAATAAAATCAGAGATGTGCTATGAGATGAATAAATTACTGCAATCATAATGTCACCAAGCAGAGATACTCCATTTTCACAATCTAAAAATATTACAAATTCATTGTAAGATTGTAGTATTTTGACTTTGACTTTATAAAATACAACTGAATCATTAATCTGACATGCATTTTGTAATTCATTAATATTGTGTTCTAAAATGGAATTTCAGTTGAATCCCATATTCTGCCACAACAGTTTCACTTTCTCCTATCATTCAATATTCAGGGAGCACATCAGTGATTGTAAAATGTACTTCTATCTGAATTAACTGTTCTTTCTCTTTCAATCTAAATAATATACCTGCATAGTAGAATGAAGATAATGTTAGTTGAAGAAGAAGCCATCCAATATCATTGTGTTGTAATCCAAACTGAGAAGCACAATAACTACAGGGTACGTCGGAATGAATTATTCTCCAGAATTGTTCACTTCCTACCTGTCCAATCACCTTTTGCTCTAATCAGAACTGACAGACTTGGATGATCAGAGGAACAAAACTAAAACAAACAGAAAAAAAAACATGATATGTATGCCTTGAACTTATGTTACTCTCACCTAAGGGTAAGAAACAATTACAATTTCAACTCAAAAAATTTAGTATGAGTTTGAATTGAATTTTGATGGTTACCAAATTGCAAATATAATATCACAAGTTTTACATTTTTTTAAATAAAAATTAAAGAAGAACCATGAGCACCAACCCACAGATTGCACTGTAGAACTTTGTCAGTACCGGTGATTGAGACTTAATCACCATGTGGCATGCACAGAGCTCAGACCATTCAGCAGCTGGCTATGCAAAGAACCTACTTTTCTGACTTTTCTGAGTTGAATTCGACTCTCTTCATATTTGATGACTCCAAAGCCATACATAATATTGAGTTTTCAGATAAAATAATGGAAAATAAGTAAGCTACACAGACATTGGTGCAAAGATGCAAAACCCCTACAGAACTGTCATTAAAAAATTCAATTCATTGTCAGCGTGGATTTCTGTATACAAAATTTGTTTTTTTAGTCATCTTGTTGTTAAGCATTTTCATTAATATTTTCTGGCCAATTAAAATGAATACAAAATATACTATTTTTTTTAATAATATTAAATATTCAAAAACAGTTTCTATATATATTTATATTTGAAAAAATACACTTTTAACCATTTGCAAGTTTCCATGAGTTTTCTAAAAATTGTAACTTAAAATTTTACTTTGATATTCGTTCTTTACTTCTGAAATAAGTACCCTGTGCATACTCGATAAGAATAATCCTTTGAGTCATTCTCCTTTCATTGTTGAATTCTATCAGTTTTGTGTTTCTGGACATGCCAACTGCTATGGTTAGTCCTATTAGTGTGGCGTATGATTTAATCATGGGAGGTACTGGTATTTTTCTCCTGCTGAATGGTGAGATATGGCACCAACCTACACAACGGGTTCTGTTTATTTTTTCATTCAGATATTTCAACCAATTGGGCAGTGTCCCCCGAGGCAAGCTCTAAGCTCCCGATTGGTCTCTCTGCACATGTGTGGTTGTGTAGTGGATGTAAGTGTGAGTAAGAAAGAGGTGAGGATAGGGCAAGGAAGAAGGAGGAAAGATCACGAGCAGCCCATGCTCCATTTGGTAGGGTACTACTCTGGTATTTGCCTGGTGTTGATTGAAGAACCTTGGAAAACTACTAATCAGAACAGCTGGCTGTTAGAATTTTCCTCCAGACAGCAGCAGATTTTGACCTAGCTACCATCCAAAATCCTGCTGCCGTCAGGGCTCGAATTCTAGGGCCTTCCAGTCAGAGTCACTTCTGTGACGTCAGTTGCATTGGGCCTCCTCAAATGGTTAAGTGTCATTTGATTTTTACCTTACACAAGGTGGCGAATGGTATCTCTACACTATAATGGATGCATGTTAGAACAAGAAACATGTTGTCTTAATCTTTATTATAGAAGAGCTATTAATTTTCTGCCTAAGGTGTATTTCAAAAAGGTGTGTAGAGTATACTTAATGGTGTATTTTCTATGAAAGATTATAGAAGATTAAAAATGGAAGGGGGGGTGCTTTGAATATATGCACTGGTATGTTTAAAGTTAAATGATTAAATGTTCAATGTTTTTCACAGTTCAAAGTACCCATAAAAAAAAGTTATAAATTTAAAAATAATTACTTACAGAAACAACTGAAAATGGATGCCATTCTACAGAAGAAATCATTGGGCACTGGAGCAAAATATACTGTAAATGAAAATAAGAAGGTTATTAGTTAAAGGTATTTAAATACAGTTTAACTTAAATGACTTTACTTATATTTATACAACACAAAGGAAAATTGTGCTAATCATATTCCAAATATAAAAAGTTCACAGAAAAATTAACTGTCTTCTAATCTTTGAATTTTCTTCTGTTTTTAACTTTCTCATATGCTGGTTATGAAGCACAGAAAAGTAGGTAACTCTGCGGGGGGCATCAACAATTTTTCCCCAGAAAAACTCAAACTATGGGCCCTGGTAACAAAAAAAAAAGGATAAATCTCCTATATGTAGAAAATTACTTCCTCTAACATGATGCATAGTCAGAATCCATGTTATGTGGGTTCTTTTTACCAAAAAATTGAATGACGGAAAAACGTTTCTACCCGTTCATCCATCTGTGGCCAACCGTTCACACGATTTTCTCCAAAATTAATATTCTCCATTCCATTTTTCTCATTGTTTTCCTACAACTACAATATAAAGGAAAGATGTTTTCTTTAGAATCTGTTGCTTAAAGGCAAATCTTGAAATAAGGTCATGTACAATTTTTGGAAAATATGAGTCTTCAAAATTGCACATTTGAATTTCCCCCACTCAAGTTGCTTATCTTTCTAGAGATATCAGTTTTGAATACAGCAATTGCAACGCTGTGCCACAACATGGCAGTCTGAAATTCTGTGAATTTCTCATCATAGTACGGAGATGATATAGCTGTATGAAAAGCATGACAATCAAATTGATTTTGAATCTAAGATAACCCATTATTATTCTAATGACATATTTAGGAAAAACCTTGCTTTAGTTTTGGGTAAATACATATCTATCCAAAACTTCATACAGCAGATAGATAAATCCTTTTTGAATTTATTTTACCTACAAATATGTAAATCTGAGTTGTGAGAAATGGCCTTAGGAAAAAAAAGACTCATTCTATGTAGTCCGTTAATTGAACTTAATAAAAAAATATATTAGGGGTTCTGTACCCTACGTGATCAGACTAACAGACATTTGAGATTTATTTTCCTATACAAATGTTAGAAAGCATAAATTTTAAAAAGCGGGTTAAAAATGAAAAATAAAACTGAAGGGAACCATTAAGGGCAAATAATAGATTACATTCCTACCTGTCCAGGTCTGCAAATGAAATTTTTGGAGGGGCTTTGAAGGACCAAATGAACCACTGATCCAGGTAGGCGTGCAACTTGCATCACACTCAGTTTTTTTGAGTTGCGTTTTAATATCCAGAATACGCGGTCAAAAACAATTAGAAAGAGAGGTGGTACAATCCACATCCAAGTCTGAAAGGAATTATTATACATACAATTGTAGATAAAAATAGCAAATAATTTCTCTTAATCAATCACTAGAATAATTTAAGTTTTAAAACTTGCCTCGGATTTCATAGTGACAAATACAGGTTCAGTTTCACATTGTGTGCCATTTTGTAATAATTCCTGATAATTCCATAAATCTCTAAATTGTAGAGAAATATTATTGGACATTCCACTACAATTTATGTTTACATTCTTCTTCTGTTCTTTCAGTTTCCCACTACAAAACATAATATACCAAGAAGAAGAAAAAAAATAAGATGGAAAAGTTTGAAATTATGTGCAAAGAACTTTTCAGAAAACAATATTGCTAGAAAAGGAGACATTTTTGTTCTACCTCAGAGGATGACACAACAAAACTATTAAAAATGGCAAATATAAATGATGTACAATCCAGAATAGTTGGTAATGTTTTTCACGAATACATTTGATGGATGTAATGCTCATCATTGACAAAAGGCACACCATTATTATACCAGTGTTTCCAACAACTGAAAGCATTATAGAGAATTACTGTCTAACAATCTTGGACACACCAAATTACAATAGTGAACCAAATGTCATTAAAGACAAATTTTTATTTATTTTACCTGAGGTAAGAATCATTTCCCAGGCAGGCTGAAATAAGATAGATTTAAAATTAATTGAAAAGACAAGAAAAAATTGATATTTCAGAAACTTTTATTCCTACACTCACTTGTTCAGCATATTTTGCCCAGTTCAGGGACGGGTGATTTTTATCATAATGAATTGAAAAATTAACAGCATTAATGCAATGAGCAATTGTGTGTGCCACTGAAATAGGTACAAATTCATCAATTATTGGTGAAAGCAGTTTGTTTAACATACAAATAAGAAAAGAATCAATTTTCATATACCTGATTCAACAATTACAGTACCAGCACAAATAATGTGAGCAGTCTTTGCATTTTCAATCCAGAACAAGAGGGCTCGCCTTGATATCAAACTAAGTACATAGTGAAGAAAAAGGTTCAGAGATCGGCACATGGATAATACTAAAATACAGCAACTCAAGTTCAACATTGCTGCTGTGGCTCTTGAGATACATAAACCACGCTAGAAAATAGAATGATAAATATCAATCATGCGGAAAAGCAATAAAAAGTTAATGATCAGTAAATACATTAGCATTTCCATTTTAGGTCTTGTCAGATAAAGAAGAAGAATTATTGCTGACAAGGATGATAATTTTCAATTTCTTAATTTTTTTCTCAAGTAACAATCTATGAGGCTGATCATGTAAGAAGGGAGAGAAGATTCATTGCCACAATTCTTTACAAACCGTTATTTTCTTATTCAACCACAATCAGATTTACAATTGGAGAGCTGTCATCAAGATTGCATTAATATCTCCCAGGAATCGTCAACTATGTAGCTGTCTTTATATTGCACAAAAGTAATGAAATGAAAATGACTGCTATCACTTAACAGTTAAAAAGCTGGTACCAATTAAAATATTTTTTTTAATTAAAACAATTTTGCTTACATGATTTTTGGAGGCCCTTAAACAGTTCAAAGCAAAGATGTAGTATATTTTACATAAGACAGTGTAATGCATAAACATGTATTATTCCATCCTTATTGACATATGTCATTGTTTTTTCCTTCTCTTTTTCTTTTTCAGAATATTAAATAATAAGAGCAAAATGAAAAAAAAAAAGTTTTAATTATAAACTTACTCCAATGATAGCTCTAAGGAAATAATGTTCAGGTGCATTCTTGTATTTTGAATAATGTGTCTTAAATATTCCATAATTTACACCAATCCATATAATCTGTAATTAGAATTTAAGAAAAGGAAATTATGAAATTATGATTCAGATTCTGAAAGTTATCTCAAAGTTCCTTAACACTACAGAAATGCCCGTTTTGTAGTCTTACAAATAGCCTCATATCATTCCTAGGAAAGTAATTCGGTTTTCATTTCACATGCATAAATTTTAAGTAATATTTACACTAATGCTTTCAATTTCAAGATTCCAGGTCTTACATTAATTTTTTTTTTCTTCCATCTCAGAGGCAGAAATATGAAGGCCAACAAGCAATAAAATCCACATTGCATAAATCTACATGCTAATCTTTGACTACATACTTACAAGCGGCCAAGAAGTCCTTACACCCGCCCAGACATGCCTATACACTTTTTGCATTCGTCCCATTGTCCCTCCCATTCTCCGAAGTCCAAATTTTGCACGATAAATTTTGCTCCACACTTGGAGACGTAATTTGTCACAAATATTTACATTTTCTTATACTATTAACAGACCAAAAACCTTATTTACTATGAATGTCAGTCATCACTTCATCTCACGAGCATCTGACAGATGCTGCGGGATGCTGAGCAAAGATGCAATGCAAGCAAAGTATCACAGCTGATCGCGAAGTTGGTAAAATGTATTTTGTCGACGGCGGACAGTTGGTATTACTTTTGAATAATGTAAACAAACAACCATGTGACCAATAGCGTCCGCGTAAAACTTAGTAATCGACATCAATATCGATATCAAACGCCGAGAAGAGGGAGGAGTTGCACAAACAAAATGGAAGAAGTTCCGATCATGTTACAAAGAGTTAGTTCTTGCGTATCATACCCAAGGAGGTTATGATATGGATGAATATATGCAGGTGGCATGGCCGACCTTTCCTATTGCGGAAAATGAAGCCAGCCCCTTGCAAGTTCGGTTACCTACCCGCAAAATAGATTGCCCAAAAAGCCTGAAATCCACCTTTCAATTCTTGTATTTTATTTATTCATATATTGATTTTTCCGTTAAGATGATGTTTTATTAATAATTATTTTTAAATAATAGGCATAAATCTTCAGAGAAAATAGTTAAACAGACCTGGAAAATATGAATCCTCTCCAAAATTCATTAAGTGGCAGAGAAGACATTTTAAACTAATGGTGCAACAAAATGGCCGTATTAGTTATCTATTTTCTGTCGTCTCGGCTAGCTACTCGGACTTACCACATAATAGCTGCCACGTACACATTGCATGTACACATGTACATGCCTTGCCACATACCGCATGCTAGCTGCCATGTATCACCGCCCCATGGAATATATTGTTTTTTTATTTTCCGAATTTTTCGGATGGCTAATTGTAGAGCGAAATATTAGTATTAGATTATTAAAAAAACAGTAAAACCTCGTCATAAATGGCAATTTTCTTTGAAAAAATTTGGAGCTGTTTTTCCAAAACTGGCGTTTAAACGCTGCCGTAAATTCGAAATTTGAAACTTTTTCACATTTTTGATTTTCAAAAAACTTAATTCGAAGTCATTTTAAGTACTTTAACTCACAAATACAATAGCGAGAGATTCTTCAAAAAATTACAATTGTGTAATTAAAAAAAAATACCGAAATGAACTTTACGCCATAATAAGGAGTGCATTTAGCACTATCCCTACCAATAGTTTAACGAAAAAATTTTGAGCCGTTTTTGAGAAAATCTTGTTTTTGTGATTTTTTTAAAATTGCACATAATGTACGCAATATTGAGCGAACAATACTAAAATTTTCAAAAAAATGTGCATGACCTTAATGAAAGAACTAATTATGGACAACAAATTTAAATTGAAGGAAAAATCTCCATCTTTAATTTTGTAGTTGTAGAAAGACAATGAAAAAAAAAATTGTTTTGAAATTTTCCGAAATTCAGATTGGACCTATGCCACGTTTATAAGAGTATGTTACTCTCTTCTTATAAGAAATTTAAATAATAAATTTGGAGCAGTTTTTGAGAAAATTTTGAAAATGTCCGACGGGTTTCATGTAAAATACACCCTAAGTTAGAAGAATGTATTTCAAAATCTCAAAGTTTCGACTCGAGCCAGATGGACAAAGGTTTCTTCAATTTGGAAAAATTCCTAAGCATGATTTAGGCGCTATTAGTGTTCACACACACGACGGATAGACAGACTGGCGTTTTGTCGTCAATTGATTTTTCGGTATCACGGACTCACAAAAAAGGGATTCTGTCTACACATGTTAGAGGACTTTTTTCCCCTCAATTTAGCAACAGGATTTATCCACTTTTCCGTTATCAGGCCCGGCAATTAATTTGCAAGCGCAAAATCCGCAGTTTTTTCGCGCAGCATTACTTAACTTTCCCTATACTACGTATATTTGTTGTATTTATTGGGTGCAGCTGAATGTAATTTAATTTAGGGCTTGATAACATGTATTCTTGAAACAATTGTGCAAGGAGCTGAAACTAATGTCATCTAAATTGGCTTATTGTGAAAACTGCTAACCATGTTCTAAATTTGACAAAGTAATAAATAGTTCTGTAAGGAAATGGTAAAGAATTGCCAAAGCAAATCCAAAAACACATTTTAATTCCAATTAATTGCCCTGCATAGGCAAGAATACAATTACAAATCTGCCCAAATTTAGTTCTTAAGCCAAATCAATTTGAACGTATTTCCAAAACAAATGTTTTCATAATGCAAATTAAATATTCTATTTGAAAAAACAACAAAAAATATGTGTAATTAATATAAATAGCATTTCTTAATTCTAAGAAATAGGCAATTCAAAGAGGGAACACATTTTTTTTATTTGTAAGGTAATCAAATAATACAAAATATTGTTTCAGATGAACTGTTTTGTTTATTTCCATGTTAACGTTTGTGACAATACTATTGGGTATAAAGCAAAATAAATTTGTAAGTGTTACCTTTTACTTTCTCATCCTTACATTGTAAGAAGAAAAAGTGGTTAATGTAAAGTTATGTATAATTTTAGATAGTAAAGCCACTGTCTTCTTTAGTTGAGTAATTTTACGTTCCAGCTGATCCTTTCTTCCAAGATCTATAAAGGAAAATGAAGTTACGACTTTAACATGCTAGGGAAAAAAGGCCTTAAATTACATTCAGATAATATTTTAAAAACAAATAAATACCTTTGACAGAAGTTTTCTTGCATCAAAGATTCAGATGCAAATTATGAATGATGCGTCCTGAGATGAACTTGGGATTGCATTGTCATCGTCATTATTGCAATCAGTATTATATCACTTTTCTGTAATTTTTGAATTCATTAAAATAAACATGCATAATATATACAATTGTTTTAAAAAAATCTTTAAACAGCACATTTTTTTTACGAACCTTATAACTCAGCGGTGTGGCAAATTGATGTCTGAGGAAGGTGCTTTCTTTTCTAAAGGAAAAAAACAAAACAAATAACTCTTCATTTATACAATGTAAGTAGATTCAGGAAAATATTGTATTCCTGATATTAATTATACCTTTTATGGTGACAATTAAGTGTCTTAGAGTATTACTCCAAGCGCAAAGCGTTCGACGCTCCCCAAAAGGGCTTGGAGAAGCGTTGCGTCTATGTAGACGTAAATTTTTTTTCAATAAATTCAAAAGCGCTGGGTGGCGGTGTCACGGTTCTTTTAGCATTGACGTCCAGCTACCCGCCACATGCTTTTTATGATTATTCGCATAAAAGCGTTGGGCAGCCTCAAGAATGTTTTATGTTATCGCGAGGGCCGAAGGCCCGGCCTAGTCCTCAACTTGGACTAGCGTAGCGCAGCGAAGCGTCACAATTCCGCACGCGTGAACCTGGACACCGCCAACTTCCGATGTACTAAGGTCTACTGGCATATGTTGAATTTATTCAGTCTGCATGAAAATGAATATGAAGTTGGAACCCTTTTCTCTCTCCTTACAGCTCTAATCCATGTGTGCCTTCTCTCTCCGTCTTTCCCACTGGGAAATCTAATCATCAGCAATGAAGGTCATGAGCAACTTTCCAACCACTTATGATCTCATTCTTATAATACAGATGTAAATAAATAAAATGGTTATATAATTTATTAAGCACCAAACCGAAAGAGTACGTAAATTAACTAATTTACCCGAAGAAAGAATTTCTTTCTGTTAGTGCAGCCATAAACAGTACAGGCTACCATTTTATCACCCTGAAATAACAACAGGTAGCTTAAATCATTACAAATAAGTTAAAGGGTAAAAATCGTATGTTACCCCCGTAATTATATATATATTTAAAACCGGTCTTTGTTCACTTACGTCTTGCCCTGAAGCTAGATACTCACCTTGAAAAATATACCTCCAAGTTCAAACAGTTTATTTCTCAAGCAAAAAAAAAAAGTTTATTAAACGATTTTCCCCATGAATAGAAATAACTCGTGGTAAAGCGAAAGTAAAGCAATAATTCGAAAGTAATTTTCAAGCAGGCCTTTGCACTGAAACGCACTGAGAATGTTTTGGGCAACAAAACATGGCGGACAGACCAGGAGTTGGCTTCACGTTCTGGAGCCGATGTCCCCTCCATATATTATAACCTCCTTGATCATATCTGACTTCAGCCAATGAACCCCATGCACCAGTTTGCGTCACAAATATCAACGGAAATTTTAAATGCAGCAAGATACCATAAATATCACATTGTTACATACAAGCCATTACAAAGATACATGAAGCATTAAAAAAAATAGATTCTATTTCAATTACACCTTCATCGTGTTATTTTTCGTTGAAAATGGTCACTTTATGCCATTTTCAAAATGTTTCTCAACACTTTCGCTCTCCATGCGACATGGTGGTCAGCCGGCAGCGTGTAAGCGACTAATTGTATTGAAACAGTTACTCAGCAGAAAATATTTTACTATTAACTTAAATTTGTGTACCAACTTCAATTGTTATGTGTCATCTAGAAATGCATCGTAAAGTAACGTACATGTATTTTATGTGGATGAACGTGATTTCTACGACGTGTGTTGTAATTATACGATATGTATTGCATGAAAAAATGTTCCTACCGTTAAGTCAGTTTTGACCAATATTACAGATTCGTAAATAAATGGGTAAGGCAATGGTAAGATTCCATGTTCAATAAAAAGAGGCTTTCAGAGATCACACGTATGGCATTTGCTCAGTATTTGAATAATTTTCTTTTGCAATTAACGGTCTGGGTATATGATGCGTTCCCCAGAATATTATGCCGTATCTCAGACGGGAATGTACATTTGTAAAATACACGCAACGAGCTGCATGAAGGCTGACAGAATTTGAAAGAATTCTGAATGCATAGAATAATGAACTTAATTTAGTGTTTAATTCTGTTATATATTCATTCCATTTGAGGTTTGACTGAATTAAGAGACCTAGAAATTTTGTTAATTAACTTCAGCTAATTGCATATTATTCATTTTCAATGGAGCTTGCAATTGATGATTTGAAATGTAAAAATGCATTGAAACAGTTTTATCTTCGTTAACTATTAATTGTTACAAAACCAATTTGAAACTTCTGAAATCATACCATTGGTTTCTTTTTTGCAAAGAATAAGCGTTTCATCAACAAACATAATTGTTCTTCCATTTTTAATAGAC